CCCCAAAACCCCAAAACCCCAAAACCCCCCGTTTATCAAATTTATGACTAAGCTAGAGATTAATTTCTAAAAGAAAAAGAATTTACTTATTTATTTAATATATTAATGGTTTCAAAATTGGGGGAATATCTTTCCTAATAAATTACTTTAGTTATTCTATCAGTGGAATCAAATATCTTGTGGATTTTATTAGCGTTAGTAATTTACGGGGTTTGTTTCAGAATCTATGATGAATTTATGCACCTAAGAGTAAAGAACAAAGCAAGATAGAGATTGTAAGAGAGAAATTCAAAGAAATTTACCTTTATAAATGTTTCAGAAGAAAAGACTAAACTAATTCTAAGTTCAGATGTATCTAAACTGAGATAGCTATAAATTGAAGGTAAATTAACTAGCTAAGAAATAGTGACTGTATTTGCTAAAAGATGTCATACAATAGGGAGAGAGCTAAACTTGATAACTGAAGAATACTATGATTAAGCATTAAGAGAGGCTGAAGAAAAAGATAAGTAAAGAGAGCTTGCAATAAAAAATGGGAGAGTCAGTGAGCTCGGTTTGCTTCATGGAATTCCAATATCTATAAAAGATCATGTAAAGCTTTCTAAAAAGTTATAATTTCTCTTTAGATATGTGAGGAGGGTAAACATTCAACTGTCGGAGTTATGAGTTTTGCAGATAATATAGCTTAAGAGGACGCTATTGTTGTACAGTAACTCAGAGCATAAGGAGCTATTCCAATGGTAAAAGGAAACACACCTTAGTTATTGCTTTCATTGGTATCTGAAAATGATATCTATGGCAAAGCTTTGAATCCTCATGATACTAGCAGGACTTGTGGTGGAAGCTCAGGAGGTGATGGAGGCCTAGTAGCATCAAAATGTATACCTCTCGCTTTTGGAACAGATATTGCAGGTTCAATTAGATGTCCCTCTGAGTTTTGTGGAATATATGGGTTTAAACCAACAACATTGAGAGTTTCAAGTAAAGATATAATAATGCCACTTCCTAATGGATCAGTTCCATAATGTGTATTCTAAGAAACAACTGGACCACTTGGTTACTCTGCAAATGATTTAAAGCTAGGTACTTAATCATTAATGGGCGAGGAGCTTTTTAGAAAAGACCCGAATGTTATTCCACTCCCTTTTGATGAATAGAGATACCAAGAAACATTAGCTAAGAAAAAACTGAGATTTGGATATTTTTATGGAACTGATATTATTGGATCAACTACTTCTGTTAAAAGGGCTATTTTAATGGTGAGTTTCTGCTACCTGCTTTATAATTTTATAGACCAAGGAAAAGTTAGTCAAATTAGGACATGAATTCATACCATTTTAATTTTCAAAAAAAGAAGCACAGGAATATGTTGATATACACATGATTTGCTGTACATTCGGATGTTAAGGACAGTTAAGTAGCATGTTTAAGTAATAGCATGATAGACCTATTCCATTACTCAAGACTTCTTTTGATTTCTACAACTATCCCCGCTTCTTTTAGAAAATTCTTTCTGCTTACTACTCTAGATTTGTCTGCGAAAGAATAGGGGGAGTGCTAGCCTTGACAAAAGAATGCAGTCGTGATGAAATAGATGACGTCTTAAGAAGAAAAGCAAGATTCACTGAAGATTTCATATAAAGATGGGAAGATATGAAACTTGATGCGATGATATCTCCCACTTACCCAACTTGTGCTTTCAAATTTGAAGACCAGGAAGATATTGGATTTTCTACTGAATACCAAGTACTTTGGAATGTGGTGAATTTCCCAACTGGCTGCGTTCCTATCACTGAAGTACTGGAAGATGAGGAAGCCGATGAAGCCTATTAAGAAAAGCCAAATGATGTGATTACAGCTGCCTTCAAAAGAACAATTAAGGGGAGCAAAGGAATGCCAGTAGGGATTTAAGTTTCTACACCTAGATGGAAAGATGAAGAATGCCTTGCAATTATAAAGATAATAGGAGATTAGTTCAATTTCATAAAAATGGCCCCTTAAATTTGAGTCATTACTTTAAGCCTTAATTTCATGAATCATACAATATTTCATTAGTACCTTCATATTAAGATTAAAAATCTCCTGACGGGGTTTTGGGGTTTTGGGGTTTTGGGG